TTTTAAAAGATGAGGACTCAATAACCAACTACAATACCATTGTCACACCTAAAAATTATTTCCTAATATCATTAAGTATCCAGTTAGTGATCAAGCTGCTTCAATTGTATTAAAAACCATTAGAAACCATTAAACAACATTGAACAATGGTTAAAAAATTTAAAAGCCATTTGATTATTCAAATCAGAAACCAAAGAAGTTCCATACTTGTGATTGGTAGAGATGTCTCTTAAATCTCTTGTAATCTACATGATTCTCCTCCATATTTTTCTTTTCCCATTTCTTTTTAATTGTGACAAAATTCACATAACATCAAATTTACTATTTTAACCATTTTAAAGTTGTTACAATTCAGCAGCATTTAGTATATTCAAAAAGTTTTGCAACCATCACCACTAAATAGTTCCAGAATACTTCATCACCCCAAAAGGAAACCTTTACCCATTAAGCAGTCACTCCTATACTCCTACTCCCCAGGTCCTGGCAAACACTAATCTGTTTTGTGTCTTTTTGAAGTGCCCTGTTCTGGATATTTCATATTAATGAAATCAAACAACATTTGGTCTTTTGTGTCTGGCATCTTTTTCTCAGCATAAGGAGTTTTTAAGGTTTTTAAGTGTTGTAGCATATATTAGAACATCACTGATTTTAATTGACTGAATAGCATTCAATTGTATGGATATACCATTTGTTTATCCATTCTTCATTTGAAGGAAATTTGGGTTGTTTCCATTTTTAGCTATTGTGAATAGTGCTTCTATAAACATTCTTGTTCGTGTTTTTGTTTAAATACATGTTTTCAGTTCTTTTGGGTATATACCTGGGCATGGAATTGATGGGTCATATGGTAATTTTATATTTAATGTATTCAGGAATCACCAAATTGTTTTACATAGTGACCACACCAGTTTATATTTCCACCAACAACATATGAGGGTTCCAGTTTCCCCACATTTTTAGTGACACTAATTATTTTCCTTTAAAAAATATTATAGCCATCTTAGTGGATGTGAAGTGATATCTCATTGTGATTTTGATTTTCATTTCCCTAAGGACTAATAATGTTGAGTATCTTTTTATGTGCCTGTTGGCTGTTTCTATATCTTCTTGGAGAAAACCTGTATTCAAGTCTTTTTTTCATTTTAAAATTTGGTTGTTTGTCTTTCTGTTGTTGAGTTACAAGAGTTCTTTATATATTTTTTGGATACTAGATCCTTATCAGGTAAATAATTTGAAAATATTTTCTCCCATTCTATGGATTCTTTTCACCCTTTTGGTAGTGTTCTTTGATGCTAAAAGTTTTAAATTTTGATTAAGTCCTATTCATGTATTTTTCTTTTGTTGTTTGCACTTTTGGTGTTGTAGCTAAAAACCATTACCAAACAAAAGGTCATGAGGATTTACCCCTATGTTTTCTTTAAAGAGTTTTATAGTTTTAACTCTTTTATTTAAGTCTTTGATCCATTTTGAGTTAATTTTATGTATGTTGTGAGGTGAAGGTTCAGCTTCCTTCTTTTGCATGTGGATACACAGTTGTCCCAGCATCATTTGTTGAAAAGACAGTCCTTTTCCCACCCAATGGTCTTGGCACCCTTGTTGAAAATCAGTGACCATATGTGTATATGTTTGTTTCTAGACTCTCAATTCCAGTCTACTTGTCCATATGTCTGGGCTTGTGACAGGACCACACTGTCTTGATTGCTGTACCTTCATAACAAGTTTTGAAATTGGGAAATGTGCATCCTCCAATTTTGTCCTTTTTTTCATGTTTTCTTTAGTTTTGGAGGCCCTTGCTATTCTGTATAATTTGAGGATCACCTTTTCCATGTCTATAAAAAAGCCATTGGGATTTTGATAGGCATCCCAACTACAGTCAAGAACAGTCTGAAAA